CACACACACACACACACACACACACACACACACACACCTCTGTATGCAGGCTCACACACTGACTTATTAGAGAAACAAACACTGTTTGATCAGAAGATGAAGCTCCACCTGGAGACGTGTGTGAGAGAGAGTGGGAGAGAAAGAGAGAGTGAGTGGGAGAGCGAGTGGGAGAGAGACAGAGAGAGAGAGAGAGAGTGGGAGAGAAAGAGAGAGAGAGAGCGAGTGGGAGAGAGAAAGAGAGAGAGAGAGAGACAGAGAGACAGAGAGGGAGAAAGAGAGAGAGTGTTCTGGCTGATCTTTGTTACATTGAAACATTTTCAGGTAAAATATCTCGTCTTTTTAGACAAGAACTATTTTTGGTTAATGTTAGTGTAAACACATCAACTGGTTATGGGTACCTTTATCATTTAGATACAAACTATTCAATTCACTTTTCAATTCAGTTTATTTCTTCAGCTCCAAGTCACAACAGAAGTCGTCTCAGGGACTGAACAGAAACATTCATCTATAAAATAATAATTTTAAATTATTTATCTGAGGAGCAGCTTTGAGTTTAACTCTCATCTTGAACAAGCATGAAGGCGACAGTGGAAAGAAAAACTCCCTCATGAGGAAGAAACCTTTAGCAGAACCAGGATCAGGACAAGAGGACCATCTGCTTCGACCGGCTGGGTTTGGTAGGAATAGATACACAATGGCAGGTCAAGAATCACATGATAAGATAGACATAGTATCAAATGAAAACTATTCAATTTTAACAATTAATTTAAGGACATGAGGTCAGGGCAGCACGGTGGTGCAACTGGTAGAGCTGCTGCCTCTCAGTGAGCAGGTCCTTGGTTCAAATCCCGGTCCAGGAGCCTTTCTGGGTGGAGTTTGCATGTTCTCTCCGTGCATGCGTGGGTTTTCTCCAGGTACTCCAGTTTCCTCTCACAGACCAAAAACATGCATGTTAGGCTGATTGGTAACTCTAAATTGTCCCGAGGTGAAAGAGTTAATGGTTGTTTGTCTCGTTTGTCTCTATGTGTCCCAGTGATGGACTTGCGACCCGTCCAGGGTGTCCCCCGCCCCTCACACAGTGATTGATGGACATGGGCACCGGCGACCCCCGTGACCCAAAATGGAATAAACGGGTAAAGATAATGGATGGATGGATGGGCTTTTAGTTTGTGAAACAAGGTCAGAGGAAGCTGGTTCTGGTTCGGTTGATTGGACCCGGTGTTACACCATATTCTGTGACCTGCAACAGTGCATGCAACACCGCCCCCTAAGGTCACAATATACGGTGGTCACAGAATATGGTGTAACACCGGTTCACAACGAGCTCCAAACAGTCAGGAAGTTGATTCATTTTCTGTTTCCTTACGGTAGTTGAACCAGAAGATTCATCTTTAGTGAAATATTTCCAGACTATTGATGCATTTCTACCTGTTTGTCAAGACTGGACCTGCTCCGCTCCACCTGTCTGCTGGAAGGAATCCATTGGGTAGCTTCTACTAGT